GCCAAGACCTCGCTGGGAGAGGCCACATCTCCCACTTGCAGCATCTCTCTGGGTCTCCAAGGCTGCCACCTCCCAGAGAAACCTGGGTAGGGGGGTGCTGGGAAGGGAGGTGGTTTGGGGGAGCAGCTGCCCAGGCTGCAGGGAACGGGGCAGGGAGCTGTGGGATGTCCACCCATGGGCATCCTGATGCCAGGCTGGAGGAGAGGACTGCTTCCCCGGCACAAGCCCTTCGCACAGCTGAACGATTACAAAATACAGTCAAAATGCACCAAATTCATGTTGGAGAGAAAGATCCACGGGTGGTCCGGGTCGGGAGGAGGATGTTGCCAGGGAGGCGGTTTTGGAGGCTGACTCCAGGCTGAGGTCTGCTTCGCCTCTCCTCACAACCAGGGACTTAACACAAGACTCAAAACCCCCTGCCAATTTGCAGGATTTTATTCCAATGAATCCCACCCGAGCTGCTTTGTCAGCACCACATTAAAGCAACATTCAGATCTTTATTTTTCTAAAAAAACCCCAAGAAATAGAGCACTTTTCCCAGCACCAGCTTTGCTGGAGAAGTCTCCTGTCCTCTCCTGGCAAAGCTGATGCCTCCCAGGGGAAAGCAAGCATGTCGGGGACTTGATGATTCCCCTCAGACCGGGTTTAAGGTCTGAGGTGCCACCAACGCCACGAGGCTTTTATCGCAGTTCACCACAACCAGCGTGGCTCTCCTCCAACTCCGGTTGGCCTCCCAAAGATGTGATTTCCTCAGCTGCCAGAGGATAAACGGCCGATGCAAAGGGAAGAGGTGCAAAGGAAATTTAGCTGGTAGAAAGATTAGGGAGGGATGTAAGCGCTACGTACCACCGTCTGTGCTAAGAACCGCTGCCTGTGTGCCAAGCTAATGCACTTCCAGGCTCAAGGACTTATTTAATTACTGTTTGCCCATGCTTAAGGCCTGCAGCAGACAGGAGAGAGGTGTCTGGGCACAGAATATTTGAAATATTCAAAACCTGCCTGGACACGGCCCTGGGCAGCCAGCCCTGGGTGGCTCTGGCTGAGCAGGGGGTTGGGACCAGCTGTCCTCCGGAGGTCCCTTCCCACCTCAACCACCCCGATTCTGCGGGGAAGGCCCCAGCGAGGGGCGCCAGCCAAGGCGTGCGCCTCCACACAGGCGCAGCCTCCCCGGGGCCACGCTCCCGCCACCGGCCC